GGATCCAACCACCCTAATCTCCACACCTCCCACTGGCCTGGCACAGTGTATTTTACAACCACTAGAGAGAGAGAATGAGTAACTCAGCCCAGCTGAGCTGAGTCTGTTCAGCACCTCTTGTGGAGTCTGACTTTCACACTCACTGAGCTCTCACCAAGGGCCAGGCACCATGCTGGTGAGGATTCAGAGAGGGGGACTCAGCACCTGCTCTCCAGGGCATTACCACTTTTTGGGAGAGACATAAACAAATTACAAAAGGAGGAAGAATGAAATAGGTGCTGATATTAGGCACCACAGGGAGAGTACAAATCTGATCCAGACTAAGGAGGCCCAGTACTGACAGAAGCCATGAGAGATTCGAACAGCCCTTGAACGGGTGATTAGATTAACTGCAGACGAGGATGGGCGGTGGGGAGGGGCATTTGGGCAGAAAGGAGCAGCGTGTCAGTCATTCAGTTGATCAGTTGCTCACTCAGACATTTGTTAAGCATCTACCATGCTCCAGGGCTGCCCTAGAAACTGAGTACAGAGGTAAGTGAGGCTGAGGACAGACTGTCGGAAACGGCTGTCTGATGACGTGCCATTTTAAGCAGCAATTTGGAGGAGGGAAGGAACCAGCCACGCCAAGAGCAGCGGGCAGAACTGGACAGAGAGCAGGACCTCCACGTGCAGGACTCTAAAGCAGGAGTGCACCTGGTACATCTAGGAGGAAAGGAGACCCGGGCCGCAGCAAGACAGTATTTATCACAGGTCTACATGTGGAGACGCTGGGGGAGGACTAGTGCCGCAGACGGGGACCAGACCACACTGGGCACAGGTCAGCACGAGGTACATGAGCCGGAGTCTAACGCCCACCAGCATCTTTGAAGGGATTTCAGTAGCAAGGAAGCATGGTCCCAAATACATCGCTCAATGACTACTCTGCCTGAAGGGGACTGGAAATCCATGAGAGGGAGAGGCAGCAGGGAGGGCAGAGAGGAGGCAGGGCCAGGGACTCAGGACAGAGGTGACAGTGCATGATATGCATGGTGCTCGTAGCAATGGAGACAGCAGCAGACAAGTTAAAAATGTATTTTCCTTTTCCTTTTTTTTTTTTTTTTTAAATTTGCTACAAGGTGTGTGCATTCACTGGAGAGAGACAGATAAGAAAAGTGAGGAAGCACCCCTCACAGGGAAATGGTCACACCGCAATCCTTTCTCCTCCATTTCTCCTTCCGTTGGGAATTTTGGCCTCGCACACACAGGACCCAGGCATGTTTTTCAAATAGCCAAGTCCAGGACTCAAACCATGTGGTTGGTCCATGTGGGATCCAGTCACCTTAACCATCTGCCACCAGCTGACCCCATGGCTACTTATTTCTGACTTAAAAAGCAATACATGCCCATTATGAAAGAATATTTAAGAATAAGAAAAAAACCTAAAGAATGACAAGCATCTATAATTCCAATATCCACTTAAAATTGCCATGAACACTATGGCCTATTTCCTTCCAAGAATTCTTTCTTTTACATCATATTTGGTATACATTATAAAATTTAACTTATACTTGATATAATTCTATATCCACCTATTTTAACTTAATATTGGGTCATCTGAAAAGTCATGATGTATTTTTCTATATTTTTCTGGCAAAAATGCATCATCACTTTTCCAATGACCCAATATCTTATCACAATCATTTGGTTACCATGATTAAAAATTCTCTGTAAACATAATTATAATTACAACATATCATTATACTGGATAGACGTAAATTTACTTGACATTCAATTATTTTTGAATATTCAAGTTGTTTTCCAATATTTTCTAGAATATGCAGACCTATGATAAATACTCCTATCCATATACCTTTGCTCCATTTCTAAAATGGAGAATTTTGGGGGTCAAAGGACTCAAAAATTTTCAATATTTTTGATACTACTGGCAAATAATTTTTAGAAAAGCTAAAGCAATTTACATTCCTAGAGTATGGCCCCGATCATTCACTGCATCCTTACTGCCACTGAGCATTATGACTTTTAAAATACCTACTACTTTTATAGATGGAAAAATAATATGTCACTGAATTTTCTTACCATTTTCATGAAACTGTGAGGCAGAAACCAGAATCTCATAAAAACTTCACTCCAATAAATTCAAACCATGCCAATAAAGCATTTGATTTTAATATCATAATCAAGAACATGAGTTTAAACTTAGAAAATATGAAAATTTTCTATCAAGATTACTCCAGAGCAACAGGAAGGATCTTACTTTTGACAGTCGAAGGGGAAGATCTAATCTTCCACAGAGTGATGCTGAGCATGGAGCCAGGCAGCATGCTACGGACTGAGGACTTATTTTAACTATAGTAGTTAGCTTTCTGCAGATGGCAGAGGAATGAAGATTAAAGATGGGGAACACAGTAAGGGACAATCCTTCTCCTCTCTCTGCCATTGCTGAAGAGCTGGACTACAACACAAAAGACATTTTTAAATGAAAAACTGATGTAGAAACAGAATTACTCAAGCTCCAGTGTCATATAAAAGAATTGCTCAGTCACAGTGTTTGGAGTTATGCATGGCACCCAGTGAGGATGGGGGCTCAGAAGGGTGAGTCAAAGCATAACCCCCTTCTTTCTTATATGGTGAATTTTAATCTAGATACCTGGAAGTTGGGGTCAAGTGAGATCTGCACTTTCACGTGTGCTGAGCCCTATCGATGGCTGGCTTGCACTGAGGTGACCTGGGTGAGGCCGTACGTTGCTATAAGGGAAAGGACACGAAGAACCCCGCGAGAGGTGCAGAGGTTTCAGATGGCTGGTACCACTCACCCAGGTCCCTTCGTGATTTCAGTTCCAGCTCGGAAGTGTGGCCTTCCAAGTTAAAAAACCCTGATGTTTGGCTAACATTGCCCTCAAAGAGATGTTGCCTCCTGGGTGCTACTTTCACTAATCAAATCCAAGGATGGTTATACAAATCAGAATGCTGTTAGGACACACATTCTCGCTCCCCGGGGAATCATCAGGAAGGCTGACAAGAGAAGAAGGCAGGAGGGCCATCTAGGGCTTCTCCACTTAGCTTTACAGAAGGCCTTTGTGTGTCTTGCCTGGGGTGGCCTTGAGCAGCTTATTTTTTGTCCTAATTTTGAGCTCGGCTCAAATATCTCCTTCTCAAGGAAGCCGCTACAGCTCCCAGTATAGGTTTGTCCACACCTACACCCATTCCCACATTCTCATTATACCCTGCGTTTACATTTAAGCACCTCCTGCAATTTCGATGAAAAGATTTCATATACTCAGTTGTTTACCATCTTTCAGTCCCATGACAGGAGGTGGGGAGATGGGACAGGCAATGCCTGTCTCCAATCTCCACTGCGATACCTTGCACACAGCAAGCACTTGAATACTTGTGGAAGGGAGGGCAGGCGGGAGGGACGAGCAGGCCCGAGGAAGGACTGCATGTCCACGGGGACAGCACCACCAGTGAACTTGGAGTCCCTAAGCCCAGATTCTGTCTCCCTTAGATCGGGTCAGAAATAAGCACTGCCGAAGTCTGTCTGCTGCCGACCCTCCCACTTCTGTTTCTGGTGCTGGTCATCCACCTCCTCCAGCTCTCACTGTGGGGTATCTGGTCCCTTTGGTCAGGTGATAGTCTAATCACACAGCCCAAGTGCCTTCCTGTGTGCTGAAGCAGCTTTGCAGACCTCTGGTCTAACCCAGTTTATGGCCATTCGCGGTCAGTGCCCTGTGATCGCCACACCACCGCCAGGGGGAGGACAAGAACACTCAGGAGCCACAGCAGCCGTGGGAGAAATAAGACGACAACGAGTGCATGTGGCCTCAGCCTGCCCATACTCCACAAGAACAGAAGCTACTAGATGACATTTTTACATGCTTTGGCTATTTTCTCAAAATATGATATTAATTTTGATCATTAAAAACAGAATGAGCATTGGCCTGGAAGTCTGCGTGAGCTCTCAATCGTCTGATCCCAGCTGTGGCACTGACTTGGCTGTCATCGAGCCCTAACTCAGCCCTGGCTTCTGTCAAACCACGGGGCTGGGCCTGATGCCCACCACGGCCCTTCCTATCTTGACAGTACATTATCGAGGATAAGTATCCCACCAGAGAACTCCGCCCCAATTTCACAAGCACCCAAAGACCAGCCCAGCTGCTGGGAACCACCACATGTTCGGGTGTCTGGGTGAAGCATCCCTAAATAACTCAGAGAAACCACGGGATGTTCGCAATCACAAACGAGGAGCCGCGCAGACATTCTTGAGAACTGACACCAATGAATGCGGCAGACTCTCCGACACTTTTTCATCACTGGACGGAGAACTAAGATGCCTGAGGGACCTGGCAACCACCCAGCTCTAGGGCATCGCCTCCTTTTGATTTTCCTTGGAAGTAGGGTGCTTGTGGAAGTGACCTTCCATACATAAAATAGTCAATCATTATGTTGAAATGTTTCCATAAGCTTCTACTTTTGACAACCTTTGCAAAAAGCAGTTCCTTTCTCTATTCTGGGCTATTTGGGAGCTCACTCCCTTCACCCCTGCCTCTCTTCCTCTCAATCTCATAGATCCACGTGCATATCCCACCACTGGCACTAAATTACTCTCTCGAATGGACGTTCAGCTACCGTACAAACTCATTATAACCTGTTTATGACCAAAAAATAATCTTGGTTTTAATTAGCTGGCATGCTAAATTCAAAGTCACATTTATGTTGCTACAGTCTACAAACTCTGCTTAGAGAATAGGCGGCCTCCATGAGGCCCTTCCGCACCTGAAGGGAAATTAACAAAAAGAATAAAGACAGCCCACTGCAGGGCTTGCACTCCAGAGACACATATTTGTTTCTGCTGCAGCAACTGTGAATAGACTGAGCACAAAATGAGGATTTCAAAAGATTTCTTCCACTAGTGCCAATAGGATGTTTACAAAAACAAAAGCAAACAAACAAAAAAACTCTGAAATTGATGTGAAATGGGCTTGGGACATTAGGCCACCTACCTGGAGTAGTAGGACTCCACACCCAGCGCCTCCCGGACACTGGCAATGTGCTGCTCCAGGGCCGAGCTCGCAGCTGTGGGTAGCATGGTGCTGCTGCTGGCCTGGAAGTCCCCAGAATTTTCCATCGTGTTATCGCCCAGGTAGTGTTCGTGAAATTTCAGAATTCCTGAAAACAGACAGGCACAGCCCACATTAGATACACTGTGGGGGTACAAAGTCGAAGGCAGGAGACAGGCATGCCATCCTGGAAGCCATATGAAGAAATCCTGAAATCCAAGGTCTCAAGGCTTGGTGGGTTTTGTACACTGCCTTTTTTTTCTAGAGAGCATGTGCACTAGCTGGAGACAGAGAGTGACAACGAGAGAGAGAAAGTGAGAAATCACCCCAGAGGGGGACGGCCATGCCACAATCCCTTCTCCTCTATTCTCCTCTTGGAATTTTGCACACACATACATGCCTGCCTGAAGTATATCAAGTAGCTAGATCTGGGACTCAAACTGTCCAGCTAGCCATGTGGGTTCCAGCCACCTTAACCTCCACACCACCTGCTGGCCCACGCACTTCCCTTCTTATAGCTTTACCATCCAGTTAGGTGCTTGACACAAGGAAATCCAAAATACAGCTTTTGCTTCTGATGATACATTCAGAAGCTTCTGGAATTATAACTGCTTCATGTGTGTTTCAGAACAGATGCTTCTCAAAAACACCAACTAGAGAAAGTCTCCTTGTAGGCTGAGTGCATAGTGATGCCAAGGGACATTCTCTGCAGAAGCTGAAATCCTGAGCAAAACGATAATTAGCCAAGTGGAAATTGCGCTACAAAAGACCTTTCATTTCACAAGAGTGAATCAAAATAAACATATAGTATAAAGGCCAGATGAAATCACTTTAAGCCATTTTTAAATAAGACTCACTGGTCAATGGTCATTAATGGATGAAAGGGGCAAAAAAGTGATGGCTATATGAAACTAAGGCAATCCACGGTGGTTTTTCTGGCAATAAATATAGGACATATTCTCAAATGGTAATGAGGTATGTCAGCCCGGGAAAATGCCGGTCCTCTCTGATTGGGGTAGAGCCCCCAGTGAAAGCTTCAGAGCCTCATTAAGAGCAAAGAGGAACAAAAAGGAACAATAGGAGCCTCATTATACAAGGCTCATTATTACAGGGATTTGGATAGGACCACCTGTCAAATCATGTCCCCAAGACGGAGCAACCAGAGAGAAGAGTGGGATACCCCCCAGTCATCAACTTGGTCCTCCTGGTATCAGTGCCCCTTTGGGAGTGGGGACATGCAGGGATCCCACTGTGGCCAACGTTCACTCACCAAGTTACTATGAAAATCCCAACTTAAGACAGGTAGCATAACAGGGTCAGAGGCAAGGATGTGCTTTGTGGAAAGCTCATAAAGAGCATAAAATTAAAGGGAAAAGATTATAAAAAATTATGCTGAGGCACAGAACGTGTACGCACCAGTGCTCAGATCCCAGGAAGCATCTGGGAGCTGTCATCCAGCTGTCATTTTCTTTTTCTTTTCTTTTTTTTTTTTTTAAATCAGGGATAGAAACATAATCAAGAAAATCTTGTCAATTCTCCCTGGCAGTTGAACTTTTTGAAATTGGCTTACAGATATTCAAGAAGCCCATTCTTCAAGATTCCCAATTATAAGATCCACTTCCCCAGTCAATAAACTCTAATTGGATCTGGTGTGTCTCCAACATGGTAAAGCCATCAGCATTTTATTATGCAAAAAATATGGCCCTAACAGCTAATTACTGGTTCTGTATTTAGCAAAACTGTTACAGCCTGAACATTTAATGCTGATTTAATCAAAGGGGATTTTCACTTCAGAAATAGATTTACAACAGAACTGGTTAAAAATGGGTTTTGTTGAACTCGGACATTTCGGGCACATGTGTATACGGTGGTAGATTTGCCGTTACCATTTTAGTCTCTTTACGCCATGACAGAGGGTCACAGTTACTAAATCACATCTACTATAGAAAGAACTCAGGACTTGCAGTCTTCGCTTTGTTAGCTAATGAATACCGGCTGCCTACAAATAGAGCTGGTAGTGAAGCTAATCCACCAGCTCTTAGTCTTTCTTGATAAATGCTTCCACATTTACCATGCAGGGCAACGATTTTTTGGGAGGCCGAGAGAGCTGGGCTGTCTTACTAATTGACTGTCCCACCATACCATACGCGTCCTGGCTGAGACTTCACTAAAACCCGCCATCAGCTCCTTAGTCTGACGTATGGTCATCTCCTCTTCCACTGCCCTTCACTGGACTTTCACAGGTCTAGCGTTCTCGCGAGAGGCCTCACCTGCTCCAGGAGCAAGCAGCCAGCTATACAGGTAGCCTGCTGCCACGGAGTAGTAAAGGACGAGTCCCCTCTGGCCATTCACCATCTCCAGGATCTGATCCACAGTGACTGGGGAGTAGGGGTCAGAGTCCTGTTGTCCCGTCTGTCGTTCCACCAGAAGATCGGCAAATGCCCTTGTGCGCCCTCTTTCTGCCACAGCCAGGGCTTCATCGTGATGGCCTAGGAGACAGAGGAACAGGCTGAGGAATCCAGTGTGTGCTTACTCAGAGAGGGCCCGTGAGGCACAGCAGTCGCTTGCCCAGGGGAGCCCTTACTGCCTCTGCTCTCCAGTGTGCTTCAAATTCAACTCCCTGCCTCGAAGGCAGGTGCAGGGTCTGCTGCCATAAAACCCCATGCTTTTTGATTCAGTGAGACTGATTTCACACTACCTAAGCCATCAGGCCTTTCCCCTATTGTAGGCGGCACCACAGAGAGCTGCCCTCATGCAGGACACTGTCCCCAGCCCTGCCTGTCTCTCCCTGACCTAGCTCTGACACTTCCCACTCCATTCAGGGGTCTGGCTCTCTGGACCTGACCCAGTGCATTCTGGTTATCCTGTGACCACTTGCTCAACTAAAACTCTGAGTGGGCCCTAGCAGAGGAGACGTGAGGACACTGGCAGAGGAGACGTGAGGACACGTCTCTCTGTATCTCATTGTCCAGCCCCACCTGTTCACTTCCCCATCACTGTGAGCCTTTATGCATGCTGATCCCTCTGCTGGTTGCATTTTCTTTCCTATTGACCTTCTCTCAACAAAAGGGATCATAATAGCTGTCCTGCCCATCTCAGAGGGCCACCGTAAATATTAAATGAGGTCCTATTTGCAAAGGGGCCTGGCAGTTGTCTTTTAAAGCACCACACGTATAACAGGTGGCATTAGAGTTGAGACCCCTTTCTGTTCTGGACTCCTACACGTGTCCCTTCTCTCTTTCAGTCCCCATGGGCAAAGTGTTGAAACCACTGAGGTGTCTATTTCTTTAAAATCGCTTCTCTTTTCCAGGCTCTTCCTCAATCTGCCAATCCAATGTTGAATCCCATTTTCTCTAAGGAACTAGGCTACAATCCAGTTTAGGAGCTAATGTATCAATATGAAAGCACGAGAAATGAACGTGAGATGCTTGCACCTGAGCCTGCTCCTATGCAGGAAGAGATGCACTGCAGGGCGCCGCCTCACCCTAACTTCACAGGAAGGACTCTCCAGAGCTGGGGTCCAGGGGAGCGGGCAGACCAGCGGCTTGGCAGCACTTGGAGGAGGCATGCTTCCCGCGGTTCGGGGATCGGCCGAAAGTGGGATGTCTGTGTGTGTATGCAAATGTCTCCTTTCACTCTATTAAGTTATTAACTGGAACAGCAGGAACAATTTCTGTGCGCATTGGAAAATCGGCCCCAAAGTGCTAGACAGACTTAACACTGTGATTATAATAGATAATAAATTGTAATCCTAGGCAATGAGCACATTTAATAGATACATTTTTCAAGGGGAAACTTGAGTATTCCTATACATACAGCAAAGGACAGGCTGAAAAGGCTTCAGCAACCCACTTCAAAGACTTGATTAGTTCCAATGAATACCTCCTGGGAAGAGGCAGAGACGGGCGCTGGAGGGGGCCAGCTGTCTTGGTTACGGCCCAGGTAAAGAGCTGTGTGCTACCCCAGTGGGATGGAGAATTATCACTGGCTATGTCACTGCCTTCGGGGGGAGACCCAGATGATAAAAACCACCTAGTAGACAGCAACACTGAAAGCCACATGGCTAAGGAAAGAGAGGAGGCCAGGTATCTTCTAGGCACTTCCCAGACAGCTGTTTGCACTAGGTGTTAGAGGTGAGACAGAACCCCGTGGGCACAGGGGAGGCCAGAATACCTGGTTCAGGACCGCCTCTGCTGACCCTGGGCCTGCTGGCTAAGCCCCTCCCAGTATACCTTGGTACCCTGGTGCCAGTCTCACTGTACTGACTCACTGACGTAGGTCTCTCAGCAGGCCAAGAGCTTCCAGAGGTCAAGAACCTGACTACAATCCCCAGGGCTGCACTCAGCACACGGTTGATGCTACACCAATCCTTCTTGAATAAATGAAAAAATGTTCAGTGGTTGATGTGGTTGCGGTTTCACAGTCTGTGGTGTCAACAAATCACATTTTGTCACAGCAGTCACTAGACACCTTGGGTGCAGGGGTGCACAGGCCAACAGGACCCAAGCTGCTCTCACCTAGGCTGACGAGCACCCGCTGCAAAGCCTGGTAGGATGATGTCTGCAGGTCAAACAGGGAGAGCTTGTAGTCCGTGCTCAGCTGCACCTCGTGGCGGATGGTTTCAAATAAGGCTGAGGCTCTGTAAAGCTGCAAGGAGGGAGAGGAGGAGGTCAGCCATCCCTGCACATGGATGTCCAGCTGTCGGGAGACTGAAGACTATTATTCCTATCTTGGTGCATCAACTAAACACAGTTTTAAAAGGCTTGAAAGGGTGAATCTTTATTTCCGGGTGGGTCCTGGTGGACCTGAAAAGGCCAATAACACTCAGTAAAGTAGTGTCTAATCAATTTTTGACAAGGAAGAGGATCTAAAGACTTATGATCTGAATTAAAAAAAAAAAAATCAGGCCCAGTTGGCAGTGTGGTGGTTAAGGTGGCTGGATCCCACATGGCCAACTTCATGGATGACTCCTGGACCCAGCAGCTTGAAGGACACACCAGGTACATGTGTGTACATGCCCAGGATCCTACGAGGAGAGTGGAGAAGGAACTATGGCATGGCCATCCATCCTGACAGTGATTTCTCTCTTTCTCTCTCTCCCTGCCACCAACTACCATGCATAACAAACAAACAACAACAAAACAGCAACAAAAAAATCAGCTCTTATTCCAACTGAGTGATTTTAATTAAAACAAGCCTCTCCTTTTGTCATCAAGCAGTCATAATCAGCACCCCCACACCATGGTCTGGAGGCTGGGGCGGACAGGCATGGGGGACACTTGCTGGACCCGGGTGAGGCTGGAGGGAGAGAGCACACACTTAGGAGGGGCTCCCATTCTACAGGCGGTTCACATCATGTGAGGTGGAGGCTGTGCTCCACAGAAGTGCCCCAGGGTCAGGGATCCACTGGACAACCCCTCCAGGGAGCAGCGCCCAGTCACACAGACGACGTGGGGCCCGGACGACTGACGTTCCTGACAGAGACGACCCTGCCCTGCTGTTCTAACGATTCTCTATCCATGAGCCCACAGGCTTTTCTGACTCTGATATTTACATGCTGGGAATGCAGAAAATTTTAAGTTTTTCTAACCATTAAAACCCAATTCTAAGAGTAGGTGACTTAGACCAGGAGAGGGCTGAGGGAGAGAAATGTGCCCCTCATTCGCGCTGATTCACTGTGTAACTCCTGGCTAGACTCAGAGTCTCGGTCTCCTCTTCTGAAAATGGGATCGTTATCATTCTACCTCACAGGGGTAGTCTGAGGAATAAATCCAGCAAGTTAAAGAACTGTATGTTGAAAAATACAAGTCATCGTATGAAAACACGTTTTAATTTTTACAACCAGGAAATTAGAGAATTATGTCTTTAAGTTGCCCCAATTGTTTTAAAAGTTTGTGAAAATCCCCAAAGAGTGTGTGACGCCCTGGCACAAAGTCAGTCACACCCTGCCCTCGATTCTCAGGAGCACCCCTGGCTAGAGCCTTCTGTACTCATCTTGCTCCCTGCCCCCAGCCTGGCATAAGGTCCACCCACCGGAGGACGGATCAGCGCCGTCTCAGAGACAGCCATTGCGCTCCTCCTTGCCTTGACAGGGGAAGCCCACACAGTAGGGACCTTTCGTTGTTGTTGTTGTTTTTTGTTTGTTTGTTTTGTTTTTTTGCCATGCACTTGAGGGAGACAGAAAGAAAGTGAGAAATCATCCCCCAGGGGAGATGGCCATGCCACAATCCCTTCTCCTTTCTCCTCTCAGCATTTTGAGCACACACACGCCCATGCCTGGTGTGTTTCAAGCCACCAGGTCTGGGACTTGAACCATAGCGTCAGCCATGTAGGATCCAGCACCCTAACCACCCTGCCACCTGCTGGCCCCATGCTAGAGACCTTCCTAATTTCCAGAGCCAGCCTTCACAGACTTCTCCCCTATCTGTACATATGTAGAAACACAGACTTACTGAGAAGGGAAGAAGGAGATGTTACATATGTTAAAATAACCAGAAACTACACATCCAGTAATCATGAATTCTTGTTCTACTTATTTGTCATGAAATGAATATAATTTTATATAATAAGTATAATTTTATATCAAGTTTAATGAGGAGCAGTTTAATGATCTAAGAATTCCCAAGAAATTGAGAAATTTATAACACGAGTAACAGTTCGGGCTGGTATAGGCAGAAAGCCCTCTGTGAGCCCAAGGGTAGGGGTCAGGGCCTTCGGCAAATGTCATTGTGGCTAGGACAGTGATTCCGGGGTCTTCCATGCTTCTGGAAAGCAAACCCACGTGGGCTGGGGCTTCTGCTCACCTGGTGCTGGGCCTCCTCCAGGTTCCCACTAGCCCAAAGGGAAAGGCCAAGACCATGGCGAATTTTTGCCTCATCTTCTCTTCGTCCCAGTTGCTCAGCTAACCTTAAACCTGAAACCAGATAGAGCAATTTAAGGGAACACAGAAGACAAATAATTCTACCTGTCTAAGGCGTCCTGGAGGGTAATTTTGCTGCAGGTGTATTATAAAGAATATTAACACAGCCAGATAAGATGCAGGACAAGAGCTGAATCAGCCAAGGCAGAAAAAGCATTCTTTTCACATTCTGTGCTGGTAGCCACATTTCCAGGGCACTCCAAGATGCCCCCGCAAGAGCTCGGGCGATGGCTATCAGCAGGAGACAGGTTTGCAGGGCAGGCAAAAACACCACCACAAATGAAACCTCTCCTGGCCACCTTCCCAGAGGTGAAATCCCTAGCTTTGCAAATGAAAACTCCTGGTTGATAAATGTATCTAACCTGGTTCTTAGGGTGGCAAAAGCTTTTCCTGACAACCAAGTAGAGAAGCCAAGATAAATGCTTTCTCCTATCTCACATGCACAGTATCGAATCAGCGTCACTGGGAGACACGTTCTCCTGAAAGCAGAACCCTTGCACGGCCCGACCTGCCTTCTGTTACTGATGCCGCTGACACGCTTCGGGCCTGAGCTGATGTGCCTCAGTGGGGTTGCGAAACACGTGCTCTTATGAGTCAAAAGCCTTAAATGAGACTGTCCTCATTTGAATGGCCTTCAGATAGGCACCTACAGCTTGGGTCACTTACCCACTGCAAGCTTCTGGGTTCCAGGACACTGGCACCCTCCAGAGCTTTGTGGAAGCTGACTCTGAAGGCAGCCGTTTACTGTACTGGTCAAGAAGCCATTCTCGGCCTCACCTGGCCCTCATTATCCTGCCGTCTGGATGCAGGAGCCAGCTTGCACAGAAGCTGGCATAAAGACCACAGAGCACACAGAGGAAGAGCTCCTTCTAATCTAAGTAGGGGAGAGGGGAGCTGCCTCTGATGCGCTGGGCTTGTGCAATCTCAGACTTCTGTAAAGAGTTGCTGAGAGGCCAACAGTGATGCTCAGGCTCAAGTTCATAGTATAGCATGCACTTCAGAATGTATATGATTCAGTAAACACAGAAATAGCACTCTACATTTAAATTGTGTCATTGGGAAACAAAAATAATACTCACAAATTACATTTTAAAATACCTCACAGAGTAAGAACACACACACAAGAAAAGGGTGCTTGGGAGACAACCAGGACACTGTTCTAACCTTCGACAAACTAACCTCATTAATTCTTCAATCCAGACATCCCTGCCAGGTCTGGGTCTATGAGCAAAATGGAAAATTCACTGAGGCAAGTCCTGCCACACCCAAGACATGCTCCGAGAGTGGGACATTGCTCTGTTCCTGTCGTGTAACCGGTATGCAGGACATTGCTGGCCATTAGTCAAGGGTTCTACAGTTATAAATTAAAAGCCTAGGGCAGGCAGGTGGCGTGGTGGGTAAGGCACTACCCTAGGACCGGCAGGTGGCGTGGTGGTTAAGGCACTGGACTCCCACATGGCCTGCCACAGTCTTGAGCTCCAGACCTAGCAGCTTGCTTTCTCACTTTCCCTCTGTGGTTCTCTGGTCAAGTTAAAATAATGATGAATAAAATTAAGTAAAAAGAGTTAAAAGCCCACTGGAAAGACGTATAATATGTCCTGTCCCAACTTCTACCTACTTCGGCCTCTCAGGAATCTGATCCACCAGCCAGCTCTCTGAGAGCCCAGTCTGCCAGGGACTGGTTGTATAACCCCAGGCAAACCACTAAATTGCTCCAGGCTCCCCTTCTGAATTTGCAAAAAGAGAAAAAGCTGGATGGTCCCTGTGGTTTTACCAGCTGTCCATTCAAATCACTTGGAGACCTGATTTCAAAAGCTTCAAACCAGGCCCCACCTGGGAAATTCTACTGCCCTGGGGTAGGGTGGTCCCTGACATGCAGGTCCCTCTCTCCCAGAGTCTGGAGAAAGCGCCCCCTCATTGCAAGGAGCTGCAGACCCAACTCAGAGGCACCTTCCATGAGACCTACACATACCAGCGCCAGCTCAGAGCCCACAAGAAGAGGCACCTGGTGTGACTCGCAGGAAAGGGACTGGCTGCCGCTTTCTGGGGGACACATTCAGGAAATAGACGTTTGAGGAGATGCTACAAGTAAGAGCTTTTGGAGTTCTTCAAGCCTTAAAAATTATAAGAAACAATGAAAACGAACTTGAGAGCTTTCCATAAATACAGAATTATGTTGCAATGTCTCAGGCAAACCAGCGGCTTCATGAAAACAGTATTTCAGGAAGCACCAAGGAACGCAGCTGAAAAGTTGTCATGTTGGGCCTGAATTTAATAGTTTTTACAAAGTCAACAGAAAATCACCCCAGTCTGTGGGAATTTTATCACTGTCAAGTTTTGGGAAACCGAAAGCTAGCATTCTTATTTAAAACCAGTGAGGCAGTGCCCCACCAGGACAGAGTGGCAGCCAGATCAGGTCCGGGGAGCTGCTTCTGGCCTCTTGGGAACGTCCCAGTGGTAGGCTAGCACAACCTCTGGTCTGCAAGGACAACGAATCGTCCTTCTCCACTCCGTGTCCTGCTTCCCTCTCAGCCAGCTTCCCAGTGGGCCGGGGGGGGGGGGGGGGGGGGGAAAAAAAACCCCACGT